TAGGGCTAGGAAAAATACCTACCTACTTGAAACCCTGGAGACCCACAAGGCAAATTAGGCATCTGTACACAGCCCTGATAATTGAGAATTACCTAACATGGCACCTCTGAGCACTAACATGGCACCTCTGAACATTTTCTGAACCTAAGGATTTGTTTCCAGCATCAGAACTGAACGAAGCTCACAGACCTTGCACACGGAAAGTCCAACTTTCTTCATTGCAACAGCCTAATTTAGGTGAGAAAGGTTATTTTGCTGTTGCTAGTGTTGGTCTATTGCAAGCCAACCAGAGATCTCCCAGTAGATCCCAGATTCCCAGATTCTGGCTTTTATCTCATTATACTCCATGATATGGTGATGGCCACCAACTTGTATGGCTTTAATAGAGGATTGGACACATTCACAGAGGATATGGTTATCGGTGGCTACTAGCCATTATGCCTAAATTCCACCTCCACTGTCAGAAGAAATATTACTCTGAACATCAGTTGCTGGGAATCACAAGTGGGGTGAACACAGTTGCTCTCAGGTGCTTGTGAGCTGCCCATAGGCATATGGTTGACCATTGCGAGAAAAAGGATATTTGGTTAGGCAGCCCTAATGTACCAGGGCTCTACTTTAGTTCACTTCTGGTGGACTCTACAGATAATACGGTAGGAAGTCCCATTAAACCCTTGGGCCTGGCTTCTGAGTAGCCATGCCTAGGAATGTGTTGCTAATCCTCTTCGGCCATCATGGAAGTCAGTATTTGTGTTCTGATGTCAGGCTTCAAGGGCTCGGCTTCTTCCTCCCCCTCCCTTTGGCAATAGATAAGCAGAACAAAGAGAAAGGAGTATCTGACCAGTTAGAAATGTTAATGATCACAGCAAGAGAACAAAGAATCCATTCCTCGGAATTAAGGTGCTCCCAATTAAGGGTTCCACCCACTTCCTCCCCAGTAACCCCATCACTTCCGCCTCTTGCAACCGATCTCGCAACCACTGTGCTTTCTGTGCTGCCACCTTACCTGCTCTTCTTGACCTTGGGCCGAGCGGATGAACGCTTTCCAGCGACAGTGAGTCTGTTAACTCTCTCTCTCCCAGTTCTCCTCCTCCTAGCTGTTCCCCATCCAGTACTTCCCAGCTTCTGCCTTCTGAACTATGTCCCTCTGCAAACCACTGTTCCAAATCTATACTGTCCTCCTGTACCTGGGAAGATTCAGGCTCCTGATCTGGAGCAGGGGGAGGGGGAGGCTTCCACCATTCCTCCTCAGTACAGCCCTCCTCAACACGGTCCCTGACATCTCAGAATTCTTTTCATTGTGAAAATTAAAACTCTAAAACAAGGATGAGAACCCTGTGGGTCTCCATGTGTTATTGTATTGCACCTCCCAGCATCACCACAAGAGGCAGTGATGCACCATCTCGGATGGCTTTAAATGGCATTAGGCAAACTCATGGCATATTAAAGCTATCAATGGCTACTAGCCATGGTGGCTAATGCTCTTCCCCCATGGCTGGAGGCAGTAATGCTCCTGAATACTAGCTGCTGGAAGCCACAGCAGGGGAGAGTGATATTTATAGAATCATAGAGTTGGCGCTGTGGGTTAAACCACAAAGCCTAGGACTTGCCAATCAGAAGGTCGGCGGTTCAAATCCCCACGACGGGGTGAGCTCCCGTTGTTCGGTCCCTGCTCCTGCCAACCTAGCAGTTCGAAAGCATGTCAAAGTGCAAGTAGATAAATAGGTACCGCTCCAGCGGGAAGGTAAACGGCGTTTCCGTGCACTGCTCTGGTTCGCCAGAAGCGGCTTAGTCATGCTGGCCACATGTCCTGGAAGCTGTACGCCGGGTCCCTCGGCCAATAAAGTGAGATGAGCGCCACAACCCCAGAGTCGGCCACGACTGGACCTAATGGTCAGGGGTCCCTTTACCTTCACCTCTTTAGAGTTGGAAGGGACCCTGAGGATCATCTCGCCCAACCCCCTGCAATGAAGAAATATGCAGCTGTCCCATATGGAGATCGAACCTGCAACCTTGTCATTATCAGTACCATGCTCTAGCCAACTGAGCTATCCAGCTGAGTCATGTCCTGCTTGCAGGTTTCCCATAGGCATCTCATTGGCCACTGTGAGAACAGGATGTTGTATTAGATGAATCTTTGGCCTGATCCAGCAGGCTCACCTTACATTCTTATTTACACAATCAATTTCAGCCCATTGCAATGGAAGGGAAACATCAAAGACAATGCAGAAAATAATGTAATTATCTTCTTAAGACTTGCACACTAAAAGACAGTGAGATAGTGTGAATACTGCTCGTATTCACTTGGGTGATTTCCATCCATGACCTCCAAAGAACATGCGAATGGCAGCAATCTCTGCTCCCGTTCCTTCTGATGAGATTCCCTGACATCCCTAGCCATGGGTCTGATTCACATTATTGTCGTTATGCCATGTTGTCACCTAAAATAAAATTCATATATGGATCAAACTCCCATGACATATGGTATCTGAAAATATGGTCTATACCAATTACGTTCCTTTTATCTATTTTGATATTGTCCAGACAACTTTTTTCAGAGTTTCATACATACAACATCAGTACACTGCCTCATACCATATATGCTGCCCAGCAACTGCACTCCTTAGAAGGGGTACTGCTGAGACTGCTGTGTACTTTGTTGGTAGTAGGTACTGGGCATTTAGTGTTGTAGCTCCAGCCCTCTGGAATTAGTTACCAGCTGAACAAGTACCTAGCATCTTGATATTGGACATTTTTGTTTAAGACAGTTTTTGAAATTTTACCCAGTCGTTTTATGGAATATTAATTGTAGAATCAGTTTTATTGGGTTGTAAGCAATGCTAGTCTTCTCAGAGTAGACCCATTGAAAGTATTAGACATGGCTAACTTAGGATCATGAATTTTTGCTTGACTCAGTATAGGACTTACCTAGATCCAACCCATCTTTTTTCAGTTTATTGGCTCTGTATCTTTTATATTTCATCTAAGTTTATCCTTTTGCATGATGTCGATAGCTTTTGACTGGGGAGCAGTATGCAAATCTGCCGAATAAATAAATACACGGATTGGTTTTTTTAAAGGACCATCTGTGTAGGAAGGAATAGAGAGGGTCCAGAAGGAAACTGCAGTTTAGAGGTCCGCCTTGCACTACCCTCAAAAAATAATATCTGCAAGAATGTCTTGGCTCAAACAATCAATTTCTTTACATAGATAGTGATAGAGAAGAGGGGTGACGTCGTCTCAACCTTTTTGCTTGCCTTCTATCTTTGAAGGCTGATTTTTCTTTCTAAAGGTGGCGTGGGGGCCTCGGATTCCACTTAAAAGTTTCTCGCCATACTTAGCCAAGAAACACAAAGTGTTGGTTGAAGTATAAACACAGAGCCCCTTTTTCTTTGACCACTCTTGCAGTGGGATGGGATAGTGTTGTTAGTTTATGTGAGAGAAAATAGCGTAGGCCCTTTGGGGTGGGGTGGGGAGTGGAATTGGATTAAGGCTTTTGTGTCTGACTCAATGCTGAGGGGAATTAGCAATAGTTGTAGGCACTTAAAGGCTCTCTCATGCTGAAGCTTATCCCAGATTTTACACAATAAACATTTGAATATCAACAGTGTTTTGCAACTTGCTGCACTAATGTATAAACTTCTCCCTTTTGAAACACACAAATCCCTGCCACTGCTCTCTATTCCCTCTACATAAACTTCTAGAGCCTATTGCAGGAAATACCTCGTATGGGATGAGGGTTTGATTTTACATTATTTCCCCCCACCACCACTTTCCTTTATTTATTTATTTCTAATTCACAGATTGAAACGCTCCCCTGCGATCAGCTGCTTTCAGGATGTCAGATGTTCCTATTTCTTTGCTAATTCACCTTTTCAGGTTTCTCCATCTGTCATCTTAGCTCATCGAAAAATGAGGGAATGAATTTAAGGTCTGCATAGCTTCACTAATCTTGATATTGTAGGGTGACAGTTAAATCAGGAATGGGAAGGGGCAGAGGACAACAACACTAGGCATAGTCTTTGTTTAGATGGGCCCGTGTTCATCATTGCATAAGAAGTGTCACAAAGTGTTCAGTTTTTGCTTCTTCTTTTTAAGGGAATCAGCTACATTTCTTCCGCAAGCTGCCCATGGTCTGATGAAAGTTTGGAAAAGAAAAACAGGGAGAGATTTGAATGAAGAGGGAGACAGTCAGATGCATCTCAGCTGGAGTCGCCTCTGCATCAATAGATTTTGATGTCATTAGCATTTAAGTGAGCCCTCTCAATTAGTTCTAGGATCTGGAATTTTGTTACGTCACTGGCAGAAAATGCATGCTGACATAATCGGCCTCTTCTATAATTCTTGGCTGTAATCAACAAACATGGAGTGAAGATTAGGTTCTCCACCCTCACCCACAGAAGATAAGTCCCCGAGCAACTTCATTTGAATTCTGCCTTGCAAGCTGCACGAGAGGGGAAATCAGCCAAAAGACGGCACATTTCCCCCCTCCTTTTTAGGAAAGAGCCCTTTTCTCCTTGTAATATATAAACCTGGGCAGAAATGTTTCAACACCCATGTACCCTAGATTAACATGGTCCCATTCTATAGTTCCAGATACATGAGTATGTCTTATCTTGCTTTGTTGGGAATCATCGCAAGTGATACATTAGCAATCGTTCTATCCCAAGAAGATGATGGAAAATTAAATCTGATAAACAACATTTAGAACTCCTTTTTTTTTTTTTAAGGCTCAAATTTTAAAGAATCCTTTTTGCATGGGGGCTGGGGTGTGTGTGTGGAATGAAGACATTACCAGCCTGTCCAGTTCTGGAGAACGTCGAAGCCTTTTGCCTATTGAATTTGATACAATGATGTGTAGATGAATAAAGTTATCTCCACTTTTGAATAGGATGGTGTCAGTGGGAGGGTAAGAAGGAAAGAACTTGGAATCTGAAAAGAATACTTAGGGGGGGTGGAAAGAACTTGAAGGTCAGAGTCCAGCTGCCATGAATGGCAAGGAACAAACAAAATTGTGGACAGGCCTAAATAAGGACAACTATAGACACGCAAGTTGCCGCTGTCCCCTTGCTTCAAGTAGCTATTATATTAACCCACATTTCTAAAGCCAAAGAACATTTTTAAGGTTTCACACTGATGCAAACATAGAATGATCAGGAGCATCTGCACAAATTTACAGCTTTTAATGGAGCAGGTGACAGGCCAGCAAAGGTAGGAAACAAAAGCCAAACAAAGCTAAATTGAGGGGGGGGGAAATCTGAGAAAGAGCAGGGTGGAATGTTACTAAACTGCCGTAGAGCAATTACATGCTGTATAAATTCATCTGGGTTTCTTTTTCCCCAACTTCTCTCCCCCACCCCAGCAACAACTAATAGTAATTAGCTAGTAACTTCTGCAACTTTTTGTTTTCGGGTTGAAATGTTGCCAGTGGGCCTTTATTGATAAGTCAAGACTTTAAACGGGAATCAGTAACCCAAATGGTTTTTGTGTAGCTTTTTGAGGGGTCAGAATAAAGTTTTAAGAATCAAAATCTGATTTTTAAAATTTATTTTATTTTATTTTTATTTTTTAAGCTCTTTGGCAATAGCTAAATAGAAAATTCAGGAGGTTGAATACTATTTTCAAGAAGGAAAGACTTCGTTGCATTGAGACATCAAGTCGACCTTTCCATCTTTCTGGACACAGAGTGTGGTATTGTTATCCATCTTGTAATTATTCCAAATGAAAAAAAGAAAAGCCTCTTTTTAACATAAGAGATATTAACGTTTCTCTCTCTCTCTCCCTCTCTCTCCCTCTCTCGCTCTTTAAAGCAGTAAGTAATAGAAAGTAGAAACCTGTTACATTTGGTGGTTTGTTTTGTTCCGAGTCTCCTTTGAGAAATGCGAGAAATAGATTGCAGAGCATCTAATAGTTGGTGGGAAACTTTTAAAAAGCAAAAGGCATTTGATTACTAGAACGGCCAGTTGACTCCATGGTGGACTTTTGCAAACGTTCATTTTCGTCGTGATATATTTTATTCCAAACATATATTTTTTTAAGTAATCCATGGCATTTTGTGTACTATTCTACTGAGCCTTTCAAATAATGGAAATCATCATCATTAACTGTTTAGCTTTTTCATGTAGAGAGGGGGATATTTTTGACCTGTCTTAAATTGTTTTTGGTTTTTTTTAAGAATTCCAACAGCTTCATCTTTTTACTTTTTCAGTCCAAATGTTTGTTAAAAGAAATTGCATGTCAATGGATAGATGATGATAGATAGATAGATAGATAGATAGATAGATGGATGATAGATAGATAGATATTGTGTTGAATCAGGAATGTAATCTGTTGGGAGAGCAGTGAATTGGAAGAAGGAGAGAGGCCATAAAGTTGTCAAAGAGTTAAAAACCAGAATGCAAGGGAGCAATGAATCCCTTTAAGTCAGTGACATAAGAAAAGCAATAACAGACAGGCTTATGTGGCAGGTGTGTTCAATGCTCTGGGTGCCTTGAAGCTTCTATCTTTTGTCGATTGCTGGTTTTATTTTTTATTTTTTAGTTTGATCCAACCTACACTGAGAAATCCAGGGATTAAACTGGAGGTTTAAATGGGAGGTTTAAATGGTTTAGCCACAGGTTGGGCTAGTCTTTATGAAAATGACAGTTGAGTTGTGTTACTTTCCACATACGTCTCTCTCTCCCCCCCTTTCTCTCCACCACCCCTCGGTTGGATGGGTGCCCCCCCCCTTTACATGTTGTATCTTACAATTAGGCTGTTGACAGCTCTATTATGTTGACAGCTGAAAGAGAGTTATACAGGGAATTATGCAGGGAATTCTGATGTAAAAATGTTCCGCACAGATGTCTTTCAAGAAATGGTCATTGGTCCCATGTGTTCAGAGAGACGCTGCTGAGACATCCTCCAGGACTTGCGACCGTTCGAGCTAGGAATGACGACACATGGAGGCAAAAAAGCAACTCGTAGCAACAACTTTTCGAGAGATTATGAGCCTGTCAGGAAGATGTCAATGGAGGTTTAAGGATGGTTTTACTGAAGCTGTTCTGAGTTAATAATTAATGGATCCCTTCCTTTGATAGCTCTTTTATATGGTGATGCGGCTGGCTGGAAATCAACCACAAAAGGAAGTTGATTCTGTTGGTCATTAATTTTGACTTTGCTTCTCTGACAATTGCTGTGCCCCGTCATCACAGCCATCCTAATCTAACCCTGATAGAAGGTGAAAAGAAATTTCTTTGATTAACAAAGCATATCAGCCCATTTTAGAGACGGCAGTGTTCCCGCCCCCCTGCCTTCATTACATAGTTTTCACAGTAGTCTTCAAAGATGTGTGGGGTGGTGATATAAGGAACAGTAGTCATTACAAATGAGAAATGGTAGGTTAAGAATCCAGGTCCTTGGCTTGTAGAAATTAGTAGTATTTATGAACATTTGCCTCAGATGGGGAGCGGATTTGACATTTTTTAGGATTCTGTCACTGGAACTCCAGGGAACTATATCCCTCTTGCAATTAACTTTTGTCTGTCTGTCTGTCTGTCTGTCTGTCTGTCTGTCTCTCTCTCTCTCTCTCTCTCTCTCTCTCAGAAAGTGAAAAAGTACTAGGTTGTTGTCTATGGCTATGCAAACATGTAAATCTTAGCAGGGACATTTGCAAGAGCAGATGATTGGTAGTAAGGAAGGGGCATTTAAAGTTGTTTTAGAAGCATCGTTTACAGCAAATACATATATGTATTTGAGCATATCTGGAAGGCATGTACATACCTGAGCTCAAGGTTTCCTGGATTCCCGAATGTTTTGGAGGAATCTTCCCCTCCAAAATCAAGTGATATTTTCTAGGGAACACCCTGTGTTCACCACAGGAAACCAATAATTAGGAATGGTCACAATACTGTCCCTGTCAGGCATATAGGCCAGCAAGAAACCAGCACTGTGTGGTGTCTGAAAGAATGTACCTGGTTCCCCAAAGCAGAACCTTCTGTCTATGCCCAACCTTTTGTGTTGGAAGCCAAATCTGTTTCTGACCCAGCTCCATTAAAATCAATAGGTGTTGCTTCTGATCATCTGTGCTGTATGTTATGATTTGCTTCTCTCCTCTTCAGTCACCAATGATATGTAGAGAAGAGGTACAAGAAGCCTACAGTGCTCTTGCATCTAATTCTCCTTCTTATTTCAATGAGTTTTGCATGGCAGAACTTCCCAGCAGATTACGACCTTAGTATTTAAAGTGTCTATAAAGATCTTTTTTAAAAAAAAAGTTATGGCGTATTACAGTGTTTGGTATTTGTAAGCTTCCTTTAACATAGCCGACAGTAGATAATTAAGATTATTTATTTAGGTTATAAATTAATTAAACTTCTCGAGGAATGGACTGTTTCTTGGCACTTGGATCTCACAAATTCATTTTTGAACTGTGCAGAGAAATGGGACAAGAGAATATAATTTCATTCCTTTGTAGACCATTCCTGTAAAATTTCTTGGTAGGAGAGATAGATAGATATATGGTAGGATGTGGAAAATTCATATCTCATTTTGAGGCAAAGGTACCAAATTTGCAGTTTCCCAAACAATATATGAAACCAATCATGGTTCAAAATTTGCACTTCTCTGAATTTTGCGGTGCAGTTCTTTAGTCAAGTATTTGGATAAAGTGTGCTTAAAATGCATATATTAGTAGAAACAACATTCAAAATAATATCAGAGAAAATTGCTTTGCAAACGTGTTCATTAGGCAAAACAGCATATGAATGTGTATATTAGAAGAAATTTGCTGATGAATTGTCACAAGTCCTTTTTTGTGGAAATGTGGAGAACTGGACTTGACTGGAAAAATGAGAAACTAAGAGAAACCAAAACTGACAAGTTTGCCCATCTCTAACAGACAGACAGACAGACAGACAGACAGACAGAAAGACAGAGCATAGTGTTGGGCAAACATGGACAGGTATGTAGGTAAACCACACATAGTTGCCAATCAAATCCCTTCTCATAGAACACAAAGGGAATTTGTGTTCTGTTTGTATACTGGGACACTGAAGCTGCAAACCCACAGTTATTTACTTGGAAGTAAATCTGATGGAATTCAGTGAAAACATTTTTCAAGAAAAAATGACGAGATCACAACCAGAACCTCTGTAAAGTATGCCCTCTTTTCAAGTGCATTTAAAAGGAGAATCTACTGATAGTTTTCTTTTATTAAATGTGATTCTCTTTTCTCTGATCCACAAGTGCTTCTTTGAGGAATGATAGTTCATCCTTTAAAAAGGTTAGAAAATAAAAACAAGTTCCTTGAGAAGAAAGGGGAAATGTTTTTTAATTTAAAAAAAAGAAAATACCCAGAGCAACCGATTCCAACTGTTGCCATTTAATTAGATATTCTGCTAGTTCTTGACATGATCCATCTATGCTCTTTGCTTCTTTCTTGAGTGTTTAAATGTAGAGAGGTTTTCATTACTATTATTATTATTCTGCTACTGCCTCGTGTGCTGCAGGTTAATGCTGCTGTAAGAAGTCGGTTTTCACCTTTGCGGGGCAATTTCTGTCTTCTTGTTTTTATTCTTATTCTTATTTGTACAATGTTAGTCCTATTGGGGAGGTGACTTTTCCCCCCGCCCCAGAATGTTGATTGTAGAACTTGTGTGCAAACACTTATAAATGGTTTTTGAAGGCACAATTTAAAACTCCAAGTGGCACTCTTGAAAGAATGGAAAGAAGCCAAGCCATCGCTCCAGGGATCACTTGCAATTGAACATGGTATCCCTTGCTTTTTCCTTATTTTTTTCTCTTTTTCTTTAAGAAGCAGCAACAACCAGACAGGTGTCATATATATATGGAAGCTGCCTGTATCTCTCAGTGTCCTTGTCTGTTTTCAGCGTGAGGGTCAGGGAAAAGATAGCTCTTCGGTCTTCCTGAATATGCAATTACAAGTTGAGGTGGACTTGACAATTTGTCAGAGCATTGTAAGGAAAGGGCACCCCTATATATTATGGGCCATGGACTTTTCAAGTCTGGAGTCATAGACACTGTTCCGATATTCATGCAAGATGTCGGAATGAGATTTGCTCTCCTCCCCGCTAAAACCTGTCTCATGTAGATGAATGAGGCGCAAAGAAATATAGTTAATTTATGCTCTGATTCTGAAATAAATTAAGCCTTATGTTTTTCATAGAACTTAAGTAGTAGAAATAAATAGAAATAAACCCATATTCAAGTAAGTTGTGCAAATGAGAATGTTTCTCTCCACAGAACAAGACTTGTGTATATAAATGAGAGACAGGTAGAGAATGTTGCTTTCAACTCTAATCCTGAAATCAGTTAAGCCAGCGGTCGTCCTTTTTTGAATAAGTAAAGCACACTGTGGAAGAACAAATATTATAGCTGATGTTAAATTCACAACCCGGGTTGTTTATTTCATAGAAAGCCCTGGTCCCAAACTACCTTAAATCCATGGGTTCTAGTGTCACCCACATGCTAAATCAACTTTACTTGCTTACATATTAGGTTAATAAATGCTGTCTTTCTAAAGAAACCAAAAAGGGTTGTTGGGAAGCACTCTGGGATATAACTATGTGCCCCCACATTTGAAGACAGTTCCAAAATTTAGATACTGATTTAACACATCCCTTCATGTCAGCTAACAGTCTGTACAGTCAAAGTTGTTGAACTGCCACACTAACTGTCCTGGCACAAAATCA